CTATCAATGCTCTTGTAATGTTTTCTTCTTCTCTGTTTTCTAAAAAAAAAATAAATCGATTTTTCCTTCTTCTCATTCGTATCATTTATTCCACTTGCTTCAATTATCAGCAAGCGTCATAAATACTTTACACACTGTTAGAAATTAATATCTAAACATGTAATAAAGGTTTGTTGTGGTCATGAGATAACTGAAAAGTAATAATGATTATTTTAAACTGAAAATTGAGTTAAGTAGTCTCAAGTGTACACTGTTAAAAATTTCAATGAATGAAATTTAAATATATTTTTAAGTTACACAATTTGAACTTAATTTCATGACATTATATTAAATTTAATGTATTTATAACTGAAAGTATATTTGTGTATACATGTACATACATAAAATTTAATGTATTTTTCATGAAAATTTATGAAATTTAATGTACTTTTAATAAAAATTTTATGCGGATTTGCATGAAATTTAATACGCACGTATTCATCATTATACTGTTAGAAATGCTTCCTTTACATGTAAATGGAGCTCGTGGTTATGAAAGAAATTAAAAGTAATGAATGATTTAACTGAAATTTTATATGCAATAACTTGAAATTTTATATGCAAAATAATTTGAAGAATCATGTTATTTAAAAAAAAATCATACAATTTTATTTTAAAAGATATTAGTGTATGACTCTCATGTAGTCGTGTAATCTTGAAAAATCGATTTTATTCAAAATTGATTTTACTATTATTTGCCCTTCAAACTATATAATTTTTGTTTGAAACATTTTTTCTGAAAATGCTTTTCTTCAAAATAATTGACTATTATTTAAAATGAAACATCCTGTATATACGCTTAATTACTTTCATAGTGTAAAGTGTACACTGTTAAAAAAATAGAAATTTACTTCTGTTACATGTAATGGAAGCAAATTTGAAACAGATACATTAAAAATGTTTAATGTTGTCAATGAAAATGAAGTTATAAATACATATTTACTTACATTAAATTTCATGCAAATCTATATAAAATTTAATGAAAAATGTACTAAACTTCGTAAAATTTTATGAAAAGTACATTAAATTTTATGTATATGTACACAATTATATTTTTCAGTTGCAGATACATTAAATTTAATTTAGTGTCATAAAATTGAATTTAATTTACGTAATATAAAAGTATATTAAATTTCATGGCATTTTTAACAGTGTAGGTATATGTTTACTGATAATTAAAGCAATTGAAACAAACAAAATGAAAGAGAAAAAGAAGGAAAACGGGAAATCGATTTGTAGAAAGTAGAGAAAAGAACATTACGAAAGTGTCGACAGTAATATCAATAAAATCATAATTTGCTCCAGTTTTCAGTTGATTAAGTCGAACGCGTATTACTACTGGTTTCCGAACCTGGTACCGAGTAGTAGGTGTTCCAGAGAAGCGGGACGTATAACACAAGTGAAATCGAGGTCGAGATTGATCAGCCAAGGCGAGCACGAGCTTGCTGGTGAATGAATTGGCTTGATAAGCATTATAACAGTTACGTCCGTAATCGATTTCCTCGTAGACATAGGCGATATGCGCGTTCTGCGAGAAAATCTCTCGATCGATTTGTATCGTGCGTCACGGAAGTCGCTGAGATACGCTAAGCATGCCTTTCTGCGTGCGTTTTATCGTTTCTATTACGCGGTGAAATTGCGGATATGGAACTATAAATCGCGTGTAATGACAAGTGCACCGTGGTGATTGCGTAAACGATTTAACAGTCAGTAGCTATAGTTATCGAGAATGATTTTATAATAATTCGCACTACAATAGTACCGTAACTAGATAGAAATGTCTGTGTCATAAACGCTGCTGAACGGCTTCGTCGTTGTGATTTGAGATACTTTCTCTTCATTCAGAACTAGTCAGTTAATTGGAGAGAACTTATCTTACTGTACTTTCTTCATTTATAATGTTTTACACTTCTTGTAATGTTTTTTTAGTTTGCACTTCATATTTTTGCAGTGAGTAGAACACGCGAAGGTTTTATTGCATCCAGAACGATATGCGCGAGTATAATTGCACTTGATGTCTTCCGAATTTTTGTTCCGAATTTATGTTGGCAAAAGATGTGGAATAAAAAAAACTGTAGGACCTAATTAGTCGGACTTGAACAACATTTAAATTTAAAATTTATCGCGCGTCGTTAATTCTGCGGCGCGCATTTATTTCGACCTTCCGAAAGAAGACATTGTGATTTAATCTGGCTGGATCGTGCACCGTGAAGGCCGATTAACGATAAATCCGAAATTGACTGTAAACGTCCGGATAACCGATAGCCGATAAAACATCCGTAATATCCGTTCGCGGAAAGAACGTTTCGTAAAAAAGGCTGGATGATCATCGGGATTCGTGCAACAGGCTCATTGTGTAAATCAATTCGAAATGGCGGAAATGGCGATGTATAGATCGTTTGCGAAACGATTCGGCGATTTATGTGCTCGTACTATAAATACCTTGCCATAAAATGGGCACATTTATATTCGGCTATAAATTTCCGCACAATCCACACCGCACCACAAATCGACAACGGATTATCGATTTAATCTGAACTCGTGATCATCGGATTGTCGAGTATTATTCCTACAGGTAATCCTCTCCATCGATCTTGGATGGCTGAAAAGAAATTAAATCACATTCAAACTTGAATAATACATTTATTGATTTATAAGTATACTTCAAAATTGTATAAATAATTTAAATCGTGCCATATAAAGATTAAGAGAAAGAAATGTGGCGACAAAAAGTAGCTTTAGGCGCGCGTTATAGTCAGCAGATTTAATGAAAATTCAGGCTTGATCTAGAGGCATAACTCGATCACAGCGTTATATGGTGACTTAAATTGTCTTTATGAAACTGGATCTTAAGATCTCGTTAGGCCAAGCTATAAACGTCGATGTTTGTTTCAAAACGCGGAGAGTCGCCGTTCTCGTACTCGTCGTGCTCGGTATTAACAAAGTGGGTCAAATTGACATTGTGATTTCGCAAAAGGATTATTAGTTGGCCGCCGGTGATTTTAATAGCGCGCTGGAACGTAGGTTTATGAAACCAGTCTGCGCGCCGCGCGCGCGCGTCGGCCGGTTTTTCTCCGCGCTATGCGAAAGCGCGCGCCGCGCGCCACAAAGTGGAACGAGTTTCCACGCGGCGTGCGCGTGCAGCAACGGTAACGTTTGTCGTGTTTCGCCCAGAATAAAGCTGGGGAGCGTTAACGAACGAGCCAAACTAAACGAGGCGAGAAACGACCGCGCGATGTCGTGCACGATCAACACGTGTCGCGTCATCACATGTCCTTCTACGAGAAAACGAAATCCCTCTGATGAAACATCGCACGTTTTATGACAAGAATGTGTCTTCTACAGAAAACATAAATCGTTTAACTCTAATCTTTTGTAAATGAAAATAACGTTATTCCTATGAAGTAAACGAAAAATGTAAGAATCTTACACAGAAAGAATTTAAGAAATTTAAGAATTTAAGAAATTTTATCGAAATTTAGATACATACAGATCTGAAAATGATTTTAGATGAAAATATGAAGAAAACTCAAGCAATGCTGCAAAAAATTTTGATATTCTAACAATTAGCTTGAGCATCAATATCTTATATAATTATTTTGATAGTTCAACAAAATTATACTTTTAGATCTGTATTTATTTAAATTTCTAGATTTTTACTTTTATTAACAAAATAATTCTTTTTGTGCATTGTTTTGTAATGCTTTTGATACTATTAAGTAAGATATTTACGAACACCATCGAAGCTATAAAGCGGTGTCTTATAGATTCTTTACAATAAGTCATTACCATAGCTTTAAATATATTAAGCCGTAAAAAATTGATCAATCATAGTCGATTATTTTTCTTATATTCGACTGTGATTGTTAATTTCTTATGGCTTAAAACTTAAAGCTTAGGTAATGGCATATTGTAGAAAGCCCATTAAGGAATAGTAAACCTTAAATTATAAGAAATTGACTAATCATAGTCGATTATTCTTCTAACATTCGACTGTAATTAGTTAATTTCTTATGGTTTAAGGCTTACTGCACGACTCGCTTAAGGTCGCGAATGTTGTGAATGCCAAGTGAAACATACCCGTTGTAAGATACAAACACAAGCGAAGCTGTAAAATATTTACAAACGTATTGACAGGTGACATTGTAAATAACTTAGTATTACAGGAGCGAGCGTGCCTTAAATTAAAGTAGAAGAGGAATATAATCTCCTTACGAAGTGCTGTCACGAAATATTATAATTTCAGAATAATAAGCTTCAGAACAAGTCTAATCTCGAATATCGAATAAATCTCGGAGTTGGTCTTACTCGCGTAGAGTTCATATAGCTCAGGATATTACAATTAATCTGAAGTTAATTGTTTTCATTATTAATTCCATGATATTCACGTTATTCGACCGGAATGGCTTGTTTGAATATTTCATACTCATGTGCGCACATGACTTTCGTCATTCCACGTTAACGAACTTCCAGTCAAGTAGTCATTTCGTTTAAATTATTAAAACTATAATAAAAATAAATGGTCAGTTATTTCTGTAAATTCGCGAGTGTTCTTTATTAAGCCTCTTTACTTCTCGCCTTCGACGCGCTCGCCGGATTATTTTTACACGCACATTCTTAATAAACATTCACCGAGGTGAGATACCTAATAGGATCTTCATTTTACACTTTTGTGAAACTAGAAACACGCCTATAAAGGCTCCTCCAGACAATGTGGCCAATGTATACACCAATTTTGCATATATTTACTAAATATTGATTGCATTCAATATGGATAATTATGTATATTATGTATGTGTATGATATTTGCTAATATTGGCATAGGCACCTTTAAAAAAGAAGAAAAGATGAAAAAAGATACAAGAATTTATTATTTTTTTTAGTTTTTGATACTATTCGTAAATTGTTTTCAATTACATCTTTTGTCTGATTATGTCTCACATGTGTATTTTATGTTGCAGGCTGGTTCTCAGTAGTGTCCAGCAACAGTGGTACTGGAAATGCTAGAGTGTACAGAAGAGTCGGCGCTTTGGTGCGCGCAGGAGTGCCAGCGTTCTTGCTCGCGAAACCACTGCGAGCTTACACGTTGACACATTCCAAAATGGGTAAGTTATTTTACCAATAATCTGTCTGTATTATAAAACTGTTTGCAATACAAGTCAAAGTTTAACGTCGGTGATATAAATTTTTTATCAAATGTTGAATAAAGTATTTCTTTAGTTTAGCAATAACTCAGAATTATTTTCATCGTTTTATACATAATTTTTTCTTCGCGTACGTTCTGGCGAGTTAATTGGACGGAGATTACGTATCTAGCGTATATCTGGAACCCGTTAAGTTTATTATCTTGGCCAACCTAAGGCTGTGTTTAAAATTTACTGCACGTACTGAAAAGCTATAGTGCATGTAATGTAAAGGATAGATTTTCAGTACTGGCAGTAAATTTTGGAACACAGCCTAAGCCCGCATTTTCCAACTATCACGATTGCAGTTATCATCCGTTGCTATTTGCCTGTGGAAATGCGGCCGGTTACGAGCTGCACACCGTGGTTCATGTAATCATGTTAATAACGCAGTTAATAACGTGGACAATCTTGTTAATAACGTAGATTCTTTCTCGAGATATGAGAAATTTCCTTTGTAAACTTTGGGAAAGTTGTAGTATTCGGAGAAATGGCGATCGTCGCACAAATAGGCGAATGTCAAGATCATTTGTTTAATGTAACGTAAAACCTTTGATTTCGTTCTTCCTCTGATCAATATTATTCTCATTGACTCTTTTTCGTGCATGTGCTTTGAATACGCTTCAGTGAAGCATCTAACAATATGAGAAAAAAGATATTCTTAGACTTCCTAATTATATATTCTTTAAATTAATCATAGACATTTCATAAATAACAAAATAGCTTTATTTTCGTTAGAATAAGAAGTTACTTATGCTTTCAAAATATCCTTGTGTATAACTATAATTAGACATTTTTTAAAAATTTCTAATTATTTGTTTTTAATCGTTCCTTAACATTTACACATCGATTTTTATTTAATTAAGTGAAAATAAACACAAAACATATACTATTAATATATATTTGCTTATCTACCCTATTATAATTAACTTAATGTCTCTGGAGTTCACTAAGCTTTTGCATCCATTTGCGGCAGCATGTACACAGTTGGAAAATTTATGTTTTTAACACATTCCATGTATCTTAGAAGTTTCACTCAAATTTTTGTGTTAATTTAACCAAAATGAATATATCATCAGAAAGTAACACAAATATTATGTAAAAAATAAATACAAAAACGTAACACTAATATAATTTGTGGGCAATCATTTTCATCATGATTAACATATTCCAATAAATTTAACACTTGTAATGTGTTAAATTGACACATTTTATTCTTTTATTTTACAATTAGAATTTTTGCTTTATTAAATATTATTTTTATGTTATTTATTCACTTATAAATTATTTTTAACTGAAAAATGTTGAATATCAATTTAACGTAAAATATTCAAATAACACAATCACATTGTGTTAAATTAGTACAAAAATTTGAGTGGACCGTTTGGGACATGTGAAATGTGTTAAATTTAACAAAAATTTTCCAACAGTGTTAATGTTATCGCTACTACGTTGCGCATGTACGAAAAAAAGCATCTCTGAAGGTGGAGTCCCACGGCCCGTGGCTCGGCATGGCTCGTGATCCATCTTGGCTCGCCTATTATAGGCTCGTCACAGGATCAGTTTCGAAATTGATATAAAAAAGGCTAAAATCGTGGTCCCACGGCGCGGCGCGCCGTAGGAATAAAAAAACAGGATAGCTCGCTATTGCTCGCCATGGATCACGATTCATGATCCACGACTCGTCGGCTTGCCAAATTATCGGTAAATTATGCGAGTTGAAGAGCTCGCCAGGATTCTACTGAACGCGATCATTGATGGTCCAACAATGCAAGATGCCTTGTTGGCTTGTCTACTCAAAGGCTCTTTTGGCTCGCAAAACTTACTGCTAATTTCTGAAAATGATGTATCACGAGCCACGAATCGCGAGCAATAGCGAGCCATTCTGGTCCCACGACGCATAGAGCTTTACCGAGCCATGGCGAGCCATGCCGAATCATGGACTGTGGGACCCGTAGGACCCTACCTTGAGAATAAGGGTGAATTTGTATTTGTATCAGTTGCTGCCGCAGATGTTCGTTTATTTCATCTGCGAAAACGAGTTTGTAATACTGCATAAATGAACTTATTTGAATATTTTGCTATTTAATACCGTCAGTTAATAATCGGCTGTTTGTAAAACTGAAAATCAATTTCATCAAAACTTGTAAATAAAATAAACAATATACTATAGTAGTTCTTCATCAGAACTATCTGATCACAAGTCAGAATCTGACGAGTTACTATCATTGTTGACGAATTCCATAGCACCCTAAATATTCGATATTATTTTCATCATACTTTCTGAAAATTGCTTTTTTTTTTAATAAAATGTGCTTAAAGATATAATTCACAAAGAATTAACGCGCAATCTTTAAATAAAACTCGTAGATTAAATATTTAAAAAATATTTATTGCTTATATCATTAAAATTTAATATTTTAATAAGAATATAATTTTTTATATAATCTAAAACTTTTAATTATTCGAATATACATTTAAATTTAAAATTATCTTTACTTATACATTGCAAATAGTTCTCAATCGATTCAAGTAAAGTTTCGTCCAGATTTTCTATTGAAAGGTATGATTTGAGTAGCTGATCACGCAGGTGTTCGTTCCGTAAATTTAGGTCATGTGACTAGAAGTTAGTCACGTAAACGGGTGCACTCCAACGGCTGCTTTTGATACTATTGTTTAGACATAAAGCCCAACCGTCCCATAGTCTCGCAATATGTACCTATAGGCAACAGGCATGTGCACAAATCTCGCGGATTATTTTCTCGATCTGCAAGCAACTGGCCGTGACACGAATGTCAATGTGTCCGTAATATGTGGCTTTCGCGGCGTACGCGCGTGTGTTTAAACATATACACAAGGCGAGGTTTACGCGCGACGAGAGCGCGTAACGTAATAGGCACGCGGCCCGGTGAAAGTCGTCCTCGCGAACGCGCGTGTATAAGCGGCTGCAAAGTGCGAACGCATACACATCGATACAGCTCGCGACGCGAGCATTATGCCATTACACACGCACGCTGCTGTAACGATTATGGTCACGGCGGAAAAGGATTTTTACGCGAGCGCATCCCTCTCGGTTCCTCCTTTCAACGAGATCCGGATAGGTTCTGCAAGTTCGCAGCGGCGACGTCTATTCGCCTCGGCGTCCGTTATCTGACGCGTTTATTGTCGTTAATTGCTCGCCGCCCCGCCTTTTGATCATACCTATGCATCACCGCAACGGTACACGATCGATGCATACGATTCATATGGAAATTCGCTGGTATGTTCCTCGAGTTTCAAGATGATATCAAACGGCCAGTTTAGACAGAGACGTGTTATTACGTTAGAAGCGTGTGTGAAGACTTTCTTGACGTGTGAGATGTACCCTTATAAAACTATATATCTACAGTAAGATTAAGAAAAAGATATAAAAATAAAGTTAAAATTTAAACAAAGATTATACCTCTGTAGTGTCATGGAATAATGAATGTTTAAGACTCTAGGAAAATATTATTACTAATTGAATAGAAAAATATCAAATCATATTGAATAATTTATACTATATTGATGTTATTGAAAACAAGAGAGAAAGAAAAAATTGGTAGTATTGTAGTTTTCCAGATTAATTTTTTTCACATGTACATGATAAAAAATTGTTTGGTATTTATGTTAAATTGATATTCAACATTTCTTAGTGTAAAAAAAATACAATTTATAAGTAAATGAATGAGTAATATAAAAATAGTGTAATTAAAAATATAAATTCTAAGATAAAGTGGAGATTAATTTAACATATAAATATTAATTTTAATGAAAAAATATGCTTCTACAAATATGCTTGTTTACAAATTGTGTCAATGCTATTTTTTCTGTTAATTTTATTACATAATATTTGTTACTTTTTTCTAACATATTCAGTTTGTGTTAAATTAACACAAAAATTTGAGTAGATCGTTTGGAACATGTAAATTGTGTTAAATTTAATATATACAAACTTTCCAACTGCATATTATATAATTTTTTTATACCGTATAATTTTTTCATATATTATACAATTGTATTTAATTTCACGATGTATTGCTACTTACAGCAAATTGAAAAAAAAAATATTTCTTGATTCTTTTTAACGCAATGCATAATGTGTCTGATAGCCGTGTTTCTATACTAATTGTAAGAGAAACATACTAAATTTTAAATATTTTACTTGAACAATCCCAACTAAATATTTACTTACAATAAATATATATTTATTCAATATAAAAATGATTATCAAGTCAAATCTATTAATCAATTAATGGTTCTTCTATCAAATATATCCTTATGTTTAGTAAATATTTAGTTGGCATTATTCAAATAAATGATTTATTAAAATTTAGAATTTTTTTTTCAATGTATGAATATCGTTAAGGACGCAACAAATTCGAGATAAAATCAGAGCTGCTGCGCAAAATGAAAGGAATAGGGAATACAAAAGAAGAATTTCAACCTATCAGAAATCATGTATTATGGAATATACAGTTTCTGATAGATTGAAATTCTTATTCTCTGTGTTCCCTGCCCTTTCATTGTGCGCAGTCCCTTAAGGTGCATTACATGCAAGCGTCGAGCGTCGAGCATCTGTGCAGAAAATTATTGCGCAGAAGTTTGAATCTCTAGACTCCTGCGTAATAATCTTCTGCACAGCTTCTTGACGCAAAATGGTAAATTATGGGATGGTTATGGTCTGATATATACTACTATCCTAACATATAATGCTGAAAATTTACATTTCTTTTACATTATATAGTGTAAACTACAAGATTCCACTGTTAGTGTATCTCGTACATTAAATTCAATTTCAGTAAAATTATTAAATATTTTACTGCGCATGCTCTGACCGCTCTGACGCTCGACGCTTGAGGCTGATGTCACATTGAGCGGTTCATGCGGCAGCGGAACAAAATTCAACCAATCGTAAAGTACTAATAGAAACAGATATCGTGCAGAAAATATAAAAGTACTTCGTGATTAGTTGAATTTTGTTTCGCTGCCCCATGAACCGCTCAATGTGACATAGGCCTGACGCTGCCATGTAAAGGCACCTTTACGTCACATCACCTCTCGCGACATTGCGAATCGGCAGATCGGCATATGCCGGATTCACCCTGCATCCGATGTGCGTCGTACGATGCTCTGCAACCAATCGGAAAACAGAATCTTGCTTCGTATCATCAACGAAATAAAATTCTGCTTTCTGATTGGTTGCAGAACGTCGTATCCAGTGTGAATCCAGCATATGCGCGCGCAACGAATCGGTGGTATCGATACCTCGCAACCGGCTGCCGGCACTGCCCCACAAACGGCACAAATCATCACGCATCTGGGATCGACGCAACGCGTTGCGACGTACGTAATAGATTTTATGGATCGTAATGGATCCTCTTTTCTGTCTCACCGGATTCCGAAAACGATTCACAGTCGATGCCAATCGCAGGTCAAAAGTTTGAAGTGCGTGCATAGTGACCGAACATACAGCGTATTTAGTATCGAAGATCGGAATCCAATTCAATCGAATCGATCTTTATCGGATAATCTTCGAACGGACTCAACGTTTAGATATTTAGTAGTTCTAAAGAACCACTCGTCCATGGCGGGCGCGTCTCAGCTCGAGTGCTTTTATCTTGTATATTTTTGAAAGTGTTTCGGACTTGGATTGTACCCTGATAAGCATATAGCTGTCTCGCGATTTTGGACTACTCATCCGTTCGTCTTGACGCGCGTCCGTACGGCGTGACGACGTAGACGCAGACCGGTATCCGGGCGGGCTTCGCCATTTTCGCGGGCATTGCATCATCTTTTGTTTTTATGTATCCTTGAACGTGATCTGGCCGTATCGATTTCCGTGTAATTTCGGGAGGCGGGTGTCATATAGGAAGAAGAAAGAATGTCTGGATATTGAGAAACCTCTTTGCTTCAGTTTCACGAGGTATTTGTTTGATTAGGGGAGAAAAACAGTTGGCGATTTTTTAGTGCTTACGGTGGGTCGAATTTCGGTTACAATGGCTGCGTTCAGCAGAAAAAGCAGCTTTGCAACTGTTGAATATGAGCTTTGCAACTGTTGAATATTGAGCTTTGCAAAATTCTTGAATGTGATGGTTTATGTATTTAAGTCCAATGAGGAACTAAGAGCAAGACCAATCATATTGAAGAATTTTACAACAGTTGGAAAGCTGCTTTCTCTGCTGAACGCGCCATTGAATTTGTGCAAGCAGTTCGCGTTCTCTCGAAGCGACCTTCGAGCTTTGGCATTGTTTCGTCCAACTTGTAACAATTGAATATAAATAAATAAACGCTAAAGGTGCCTTTTCATGCTGATGTTCAACGCTTATTTTCAGCATCAAAATAGATCCAATACGTGATCCAAATTGACGCTTGATATTCGTCAATGTTTATCACTTATTTTGACGCCGAAAATGAGAGTCGAGCATCAGCATGAAGAGTCACCTTAATCAGAATTAAGCAGACACGTTATTAACCCTTGTCTTATTAAGGGGGGTCACTAGTGACCGAGCGATTCCTGTTCGTTCAAGTTTCTTTGAGTCTTTCGGTGATTATAAATTATATACATTTTATTATTTTCCAAAATGAAGTTCCAATGTTTATTCTAGAAAGTTGAAAGTATGTTAGTGAATTTTAAGAGATTTTTTTAATCATACTGAATAAGTGAAAAAACTAACGGATTCTAGTGACCCCGTTCGTAAGGATGAGGCACCAAATTGTAGCTAGTACGGTAAGAGTTAACTCAAATGTCGCGCTTGTCATACGGCATGAATTTTTTTATCGGTGCCAATTATATAAATAATTGATATTCCCTTTGGATCTAGTTTGTGATTTGCGAAAACATGCTCCAATTAATTGTCTCTATAAATCATTTCTGCAAACAGTAATTAAAGTTAACACAGATTTAACGGATTCTTTTTCTTTTTATAAAAAAAAAACTGAATCGGTTAAATTTTAATTGGACTTTATCATTTACGATAATAGTATTATGTATCAAGTTTAAGTTGATTTCTGTCGCAGAAAATGGAAATTTGCGGGCTCATTACACGAAGACGACGGTGCGCGCTGGTGAGGTCCTGCGACTTACTGCCGTTTTCCAGGATACTCGGCGCTCCCCGGTTACCAGTGGCGTGCCTGGAATCGTCCCGGAAGGCAAATGCTCAAGATCCTCGGAGCGGGATCAATATGCCCAGTGCTTGGACTCTCACGGGCATGAGTTGTTCGCGCCACTTTCAGCTAGAGGCGAGTTCTATGCGACTTGCCAGAGCGGTAGTCTTGACACCGGCAGCGACGCAGTGCTCTACAGGGTTCATCAGCTCGCCAGAAGGGATCTACCTCTGAGGGTAAATCTCGTCTCTCTCGCAAAACTTTAACATGAATTAATCGTAGTTATACACTGTTAAATTTATAATATTAAATTGTACTCAATTTAAGTTATTTTTAATCATTTCTATAAGTCGCCACTGCTTCTACTCAGTATGTCGTTAATTTAATTAAAGCAATAGAGTTAAACAATTTAACTCAAGAAAATAGTTTGACTTAAATTTAGTTTATTATTTAATAATTGTAAGTATATACATTAATGAACTTTATTTACTTTGAAACTAACGACAGAAATGGATTGATTTATATTTTGACATATATTTAAATTAAAAATAACAAAATATTGTTTAACTCAAGAAATAGCCACTGCTTCTTTGATATATAATAGTGTGTATGATCCCCAGGTACGTCTAGTCGCTGGACCCCTGCCTATACCGTTGCCGCGAGATTATAGCGGCCTGATGCAGTTGGAAAACGCAAATAGAGGACCGATAGTTCTTGGCTGTGCAGTACCGCTAATGCCCGAAAGACCCTTACCCAATACCACAGTGCCGGAACTCCTAGAGCTCGTCGCGACTGGTCCGACAGCGCCTCGAGTGAAAAGAGCACGGCTGGGATGTCCTTCTGAGGCGAGATTGCTCGCCTCACCGAAAATGCAGCGATTACTTTCGGCTTGCAGGTAAGAAGAATCTTAATCACTGCATAGAAAAAAAACAGCCTACTCTGTGGAATGTAATTATTTAAATTATGCAGTATATTAATGTAGATTTTAAAATTAAAATGTAAAATTTTAAAAACAGTTACTAAAATTTTAATAAAGAATAAGAATTAATATAAAATATGATTATTAAAAAGATAAAATATAATTTTATATTAAATTAATAGTTTGGGAAAATATAATAATTTTATAAAGAGAAAATTCTTTTTTTTAAGGAGGTACGATCGAAAAATCAAAATGCTTCGATCTATCTAAAAATTACACAATATTATTTAAAACGAAACTAATACTATGTTAAAATTTCAAACCGATTGACCGTGTAATTTTTAAGAAAGAAAGAGCTAAAGAGTTTTATGCATGATCTCTTATGGCAAATGCATTGAATGATTGATATATTACATAATTACTTTTAAAATGCTTCGTTCTACATAAAAAATATAAATAGTTAAAACAAACCTTTTTTTACATCCTTGTAAGAATTTATTTTATTTAATACAACACTAAAAACCCGGATCCTCATACGGGAAACAGCGCTTTGACACAGAGCGCTAATTGGTGAAAAGCCGGTTGTGGGGGTAAAATTTACCCCCATCACCCGTTTTTCACCAATCAGCGTTCGGTGTCAAAGCGCTGTTGCCCGTATGAGGATCCGGGCTTATCTTATATTAAGACTCCTGACTAGTCGTGGCGGCCATATTGAAATCGTGACGTCAGAAGAGGAATGACACGTTAATTTATGTTGTATGCCATTTTTAAATATAGACAATTAGGATGAAACAAAATGACGAGATCGCTTTAAAACACTTGCAAAAATCGATGATATACTCAAACGTGATTTTTTAGTAAAACGAAAAAATTAAAGTTCAAGAAACAAAACCTAAAAATTTCATGGTTACAATTACTTCGCGAAACATTTGGTTAAGCTATTTGTTTATATCTCGTCGAGCTACCCTAGATTTAAAAAAAAATCAATTTATTCACGTCAATTTATTACTGAGAAAATGTAAATTTAGCAAATTTTAACGCACGAAATCAGATACGCGCGAATCACCGAGCGGCCCGCTCTTCCGCACTTGACTGCGTGCCGGCTTCCCTCATTCCTGCCTCGCTCGCGTTCTTCGACTTTTCAATAATTCTAAACAAACTTTTTCGGCAGCAAAAAATTCGAGAAACAGCAAATTCAATTCTTTCTTGATAAATTGGTGTCAGATGGAACTCTTAATCTTAAAAATTAGAGCCACAGTGAGTTTTTGAAAAAAAATTGTTATCTCGGCTCCTAATAATCGAAGGGTAATCTTTTTTTTTTAAATTCGTAGAGAAATGTCAGATGTCGAATGATTCACACGGCTATTTGATATGATGCATATTAACGGAATTATTCCATTTTTTTATACGGAAAAAGATACCCACTTTTTAAAGTCGTTTTATAATAGTTTAACTGCAAAAAATCGTTTTGTTATTAAGTGTACGTGATAGTGCAACTCTTGAAGAAGAAAAATCACCCCTGTAAATTGCTGTGCGACTGCTTAAAGATGAAGAAATTATGTTTTCCGCAGACAGGTTTTTCATGAACAAACAGTTTTTTTGCAAAAACTAATGAACATTTCAGGCTTGTTCAGGACTAGATTTGTTCGTCATTACCAGGGTTCGCCATTACATTTTACGAGAATTTCAAAGCTTTGTGTTTAAATCTCAATGAACAGAGAGCGAGTGAAAAAAAGGCCTTTTTCGATGTTTTTTATTTTTTTTCTACTGAACTAATAGATCAATTTTAATATTCTACGTCTCATTTTGTAGATATTTCGAATATCTACATTTTTTATACCAAACTTTTTTCCATACAATCAATATTTTTCGTTTTATAAGTGAAAAACGTGCTTTTTGCAATTATTCGATTTTTTTTCGCATATTTTCTTTACAAGTCTCGAGCCTCAAACATACGCATTTCTTTTCTGATGGCCTTTCGAGACTTTCGTGAAAAGAAATGTTGGTTTATAATTTTTTTCCTGTAAAATTCTGCTTCTACTGAATTATTCTTGCTACTCGAATTTATGAAGGAGGGGTATACTATATAACGCGCTATAAAAATCGTAAACAATTAAATCTCGTAAACTATTGCATTTTAACAAAAATAAATGATTATACTATTCTGCATTAATGGGAGTGTACACTGTTACTACAATTTATTAAAATTTATATGTTATTTAGAATACCTCCCCCGCTCTTTATTGATGCCTAGGGCCGCCGAACGGCCGAGATTGCCGAGAAAGCATTTTCGGTCGCTTGAAACAAGCGACTAGTGTGAGAAGGAGTTCGGTGTCTCATTCACTCTCAGCGTGCCGCAGGCGAGCACACGGACATTTGCTTGTGCTTAAGTGTGTGGCTACCGGTTTCGCCAGACCGCCGTCTGATTCTGTGTCGCCACCGTCAACACAGAGTTCTTGGCTGAGTAGTCAGGAGCCTTAGTCTCGATCCACAACCTTGCTTTAAGAGGCCGTAAGCCATAGGCTGTAAGAAATTGACCAATCACAGTCGATTATTTTTCTCATATTCAACTGTGATTAGTCAATTTCTTAAGGCTTTACGGTTTACAGCCTCTTAAAGCAAGATTGTGTACCGAGCATTAAGTATTAAAATTTGTATTTAACATTATAATAAAAAAATACGCAGATTTTTTTTTAAATAGATATTGATACAATAATATAAATATGTATTAATAAAGTTAATTTAATATATTTATAACGTTTAAAATATTAAAATGTAACTTTTAGCATATAACTCTTGTCATATAACTCTTATCACATAATTCGTATCACATAATTCGTGATATTAAAATTAAAGCATTTTTTTAGTATAAAATAATTATCAATTAGTTATGAATTAGTTATGAATTTGCCTTTATACCGAAGCATTTTCGTATAAAATAACTATAAAACACGTATATGAAAATAATATTTTAACCTCAATTAACTGTATATTATTAACTGTCAATTACTAGTACGCAAGAAGTTTCGAGTAGAAATGCTAACCTTATTTTCAGAATGCAACGTTGCCAAGTTGTCGCTAATCATTGAACATAAAACATTAAATTATCTGCATTTTCTAATAATAGAATATTAATATCATAATTTATAATTAAAAATTAGCAATCAATGTTATCTTTTAATTTTAATAAATTAGCCTTTCTTATTATTAAAAAATTTTCATATATTATTGGGTTGGTATTACCAATGAAGAACAATAGCGTACCCTCCTCACCACCTACTTCGCAAGTGATCGATCGTACATCCTTAAATCACTAAAATTTATATCTTATAAAAAATTAATCCTTATAAACAGTTAATGTAATTAAATTTCTTGTTTGCATTATTAGTCTCAGTGTAATAAATATTTTTGGTATTCGCGCATGGAAAAAATGTTTGGTTGAATCAACGAGAATTCTGATGGAAAACGAACGATCCAGATTTCCGATTATGTCTACTAGATTTTTGGTTAAATCTACTGAATATTAGTTATTTCAACTAGAATTTTAATAGATTTAACCTTATACGATTAATTTCGCGATGAACCATTGCCGCTGCCAGGCTCACAAATTTCAGCATAGGTCTTTTCCAATTTTGGCGGCGGAGTAGGAGACATGAGACTGTCTTTCACTTTAGAGTATGATGGATACATGTATCAATCTTGCAGATTTAACTAGAATTCTCGTTCATTTTTGACCAGAATTCCAATTAATTCAACCAAACATTTTTTTCTGTGCGCACAATTCTTACTGCGATTGAAACATTTTCTTTTAAATAATTAATACTTTATATATGAAATAAACAATTGTTTTTTTATAGAAGAGCCTTAGACCAGAGAGCGACCGAACCTCGAGTCGCCCCGCCGAAACCGGCTTCTAACAATAGTCAACTGAAAGAACTGCATTTGAAGGAAATTAAAGCGAAGCCCGAGGCAAAGCCGATACTGCAGAGCTTGAAAGAGGGTCTAGAGCACATCAAGAAGACGACAATCCGCGATCGGAGTAATAGCCGCAACGCCGGTAATAATCACAGCTTCCTCGATAGAATCTCGAGGATAGCGCAGGGTGGCAAAAGCAGAAACCCAGCAAAGAAATCGGCATCTTTCACATTTGCCGTACGACCGGAAATCGGCATGCGGTCACCAGAGAGGTACGCCAGTCTGGAATCAGAAACAAATTTGATGCAGGCATCACAGGCCTCATCTAGGCAACAAGTGCAGCGTTCGATTTCGACGAGCGTCCTCGAGATGCAAACCAGCAGTCCAGACATGGATCCACCGTACTCTAAAGTGAGAGACAGTCTCACGCCATTGCCTCCTACTCCTCCGCCGAAATTGGAAGAGATCTATGCCGAAATTTGTGAGCCCGGTAGCGGCAATGGTTCGTCGCGAGATTCACCGCATGAGGATAAATCGCTGCTGATAGGAGGGAACAACGGCACCAGAGAACGAGATCGAGGTTATGTGAAGCTTGCACTATCCCATTCCGAGATGTCCGATGTATCGGCGAGCACTGGCGACGACGAAGAAGGTATTTACAATACTGTATGCTAAGCGCGCACCTTTTTCCATTGCAGTATACTCAACATCCACGGGAAATCGTTGGTGATAACTAACTCTAGGGTCGACCGGAACAAATGATGTTACGTGTACGAAGTCGAAAGGTCGCGGGAACTCTTCAGCGTAGTATATCATTGTGGATATCGAATGTTTACAGACGCGAGTAGTATTGACAAATGCGTTCGTTGCGAAAGGATCGTTTGAAAATCTTTAAAACGATAAAAACGTTAAAACGGTCGAGCCAGTATTATCATAATGTTCTTTTTTTAATAAGAAATGCGAGAGTATAAATATCAAGTTTTTAGAACTAATTTTATTTTTATACGTAAGATTGGAAACTGTTCTCCTAAGTAGCCGCCGGCTCTCAACTATTAAAAAGATATCATTACAAACTGTGTGGATCTCGTGCGCTTTTCGGATCGGAGAAAAAACGCGGGAAAACGAAAGTGATATATCGATCACGTCCGCGAACGAGTTGAGGCTCGGGATTTACAGCTCGGACCACCGTCAAGGAAATTGTTATGCCAACGATTTCTTTTGCCGTATGAGGACGCGAACGCAAACGTCATCCACAGAGTATTGCGCAGAATGATTTACAAGGCTGTTGACCGAGGAAAATGATCTCGTAATTACGGGCCCGGTGCATGCTGCTGCAGCGGATGTAGCGGAGCATGCCGACTGGCGATAGCACGCACGCAGCATCGCTTCTTTTATATCTTCGTGGTTTCCGCCATTAGAGAATCTGTCGTCTTGCGAGAGGCGTGTTAATAGTAGCGGGCTTTTACCGCGATTACCTCGGTCGCTGAATAATATGGATGTTGAAAAAACCCGCCCATTGAAAATTAACATAGCTCAGAAAATATTTGTTGATTCTTAAGATTCATCGTTGGAAACATTGTGACTCTCGATGATTTAACTACAACATAAACGTGTGGTATCAGTCATTTAATCTTTAATTAAATGAATCTCAAGAATCAATAAAATTTACATATTTCGTTATTGAAAATTTTATAATATGTTAAATTTAATAATATTTGATATTTTGTTCTATTTAAAAGATTTCTAAAGTTAATAAGAAAACACACGAAAGTCCTCGATTTTGATGAATTATATATATATATATATATATATATATATGGTATGTACATGTCTAGATAACCGAATAACTATATACATATAATATCTATATGTTGAAATCTCTAGACCAATATGACCAGATAGCCAAATGTCTGCAGTCTTCTAGCAGACTGTCAGCAGGTTCGAGCAGAAAATGACGGCAGTCTGCCATCCACTACACTGTTAGAAATGTTCTTAAATTTCATTTATTTTTAAGTTACACAATTAAAATTAATTTGAATTTAATTTCATGACATTACATTAAATTTAATGTATTTGTAACTAAAAAGTATATTTACGTACATGTACATAAAATTTAATGTATTTTTCATAAATTTAATATACAGGTTCATTACATTTAAGTAACTACTGTAACTAAATTTGCAGTTAAATCATTCATTACTTTTAATTTCGTTCATAACCACGAGCTTCATTTACATGTAAAGGAAGCTCGTGGTTACATTTCTAACAGTGTACGTCCGCATTAGGCTTGTGTTCTGTTAACATCGCCTGTATCATCGACATAATGTGAAGGCAAATTGTTGGCAGAAACTGAGCAGATCCTGCCGACATTATCTAACGCTTGCAGATTCTGTTACGTTTATTCTAGCAGTCTGTCAACAGTATTATGTACATCTAATTCTATTGTCATTTTGTTGGCATAGTGTGTAGCAGACATTTAAAAAATCTGCTTTGTATAAACTTGGCTATCTGGGTGAAAAACACGTATTTTTTATACATGCCCATATGCATTTTTAAGAGAATATCTCATCGAAACTATAGAAATAGAAAAAAATGTTTTTGTAGGATTACGCCGTGGTGGAATTAATAAAGTGAAACATTGCGTATAATAGCGACAGTAATACTGGAAATAACCAATCAAATGTTCCCCAATATACATTTTCCTACGTATAATAGCGCTGGTTATACTGGAACAGCTAATCAAATGTTACCCAAATTCTCTCTCCTACTGCGCATTCATAGGAGTGTTTTACCTTATTAATTCCACCATGGGTTGCGCGGTCCCATTGACGCGGACGCGAGAAAAACAATGCAAGAAGAAAAAGTACTGAATAGCACCCATTTCCAAAAATGGCAGCGAACATGGCTTTTTCTTTGCTTCGCTTCCAAAATTAATCTTGTAAGACATACGATTCCATGAACATGACACGACATGCCATGTATTTCAGCGATGTTCGCTATTAGTTGAACAATATCGAACTTTGAACGTAACTTCGCTATATATGAAAATTCATGGAGCAGAGCGGGGGTAAAACGCCAGCTTTTATTAGCTATATGAAATGGTACCTTAAGAAATACGTTTTTTGACAAGCAGAGGGTGAACAAGGACGCCGGAATATCAATTTAAGTCCGAGCCTTCAGCTTCGGGAATCCTCTAACCGCTTCGATTGATTATTTATTATCGAGCAGATAAATTAGAATACGAGGCAAGCACAATTGTTGAGTTACATCGAGAGAATAGCTTATCTCCGTGTAATCCTTTTGAGTGAACAGGTAGATAATCAACCTGGCGAGGACACAAACTCCCCAAAATTTTCTATCGATTTTTTCATTTTTTATTATAAAAAAATACGTAAATTTTTTGTTACGACATAAAATATTTTATTCTCTCCCTTACGATCATTAATAGTGGGTATGTTTACACCGTGCATTTAGACCACGACTTATACAATAAGTGCTCTTGTTTATCCTGTAGGTTAAACAAAGATCTATTGTTTAGGTCGCGGACTGAGCGCATGGCATTTTCCAGTAATTAGTTTCTAGAACTTCATCTGTTAAAACTCTAATTTCTTATTTAGAATTTTGACATTGTTCCGATATATAAGAAAAATTTTTGCAACATTTTTGCCGAAATGCAGTATATGCAGAGATATTACTCTATTCACAATTACAATTTTATTTTTAATATAACTGTATTTTATCTGTACCTTCTTCAAGAAAAAAAGTTTGATTAGAAACTTAATGTTTTCCCCATTCAAAATCAGGAATAAGGAGACATTTTAAGCTCTAAAATAAAAAAAACCAACGCAAAAAATTGTTGCTTATGTAATATCAGAATTGACAAAAATTTCCTCTCCCAAAAAGTTCTAGATACACCCGCGTAAACTAAATATTAATATTTGTCTATAAAACGAAAGGTTGCTGTCGCTAACATTTCTAGAATCGTTTTTAGAAAGAGAAAGAGAGAAGATTACTTAAGTAAGCAATCAAATTGTAAAAGGAGAAATGAAAATATTTGTTAAATAAGTAAAGTTTTTACTCTCCTCGGAAAGGTGTTGTCCGCGTAGAATAATTATAAGACATCTAGAGACACAACTAGAATGGCTTTCGTAAAAAAGGGGGGGGAGGTATTGGTAAAAACTTTTCTCCGGAAAAATATTAATTTCAAGAAGAAAGATTCCTATTTGATTGTGTTTGATAGCAGTAAAAATAATTATTTTATCAGCTTGAGCATAGTAACATCAGAGATGGTTTTTTCCAATATTTTCACAATGGTGACAATCTCTGCCACTATGGTAATCGCGTTCGAAGCAAACCTACCGCAACTGACGAGAACGAGTAGTTTCTACTGCAATGGGTGATTTACACGGGACGACTTTATTCGCTTGAAGCAGCAATTCTGAAATAATGGATAGGAAATCAGCCTAGAAGTAGTGGCAGAGATGAACTACTACATTGTTTAATCGGAGATTGCAAATAAGGAGAGCTGCTGGAGACAATTAATCTCGTCGAATTATTGGGCGAAGACAATTCATTTTTAGAAACAAACGAATAAGCCATAAAGATTTAAATTTTTATTTTCAAGATAATAAATAAAGGATGTAATAAAACAGCATATATAAAAATATAATTTATTTGTAATGCTACTTTATTTAATGATACATAAGTACATCGATATATATATATTTTTTATTTAATTATTTTTTATTACTTTAAAGCGTTTGTTATTAGTTCTCAGAAATTATGTTATAATATTGTATAATGATATAATTATATAATAAGGTAACATGAATAAAGTAAATTAGTAACGATTAATGCAAATTTTATGGTTAAATTCATAACAAAGATGATTGTGAAAAAAACGTTGTATGCAAAGAGATTTCTTGCACCATGTGCAAGTAATTATAACAACACCGCCGCAAACATCGCATGCTGCTTTAGAACGTTTTTTGAAACAAAAATCTATTAGTTTCAAATTCTTCTAGTTTAATATCTATATAACCGCTTTTTTGCCAAGCATATTTAAATAAATTTTGAAATCTTGGCGAAGGAAATTGAAAATGTGTTAACGATTGCAATTTTAAAATGGAATCTCTCGAATAAAGTTTAACTTCCAAATCTAAATGATAATATCTGAAAAATGTTTTATAAAATTCTTCCATAAATGGAAACCATACACATCTAACGGTTGTCTTTGACCGTTGTTCTGACTGGTATAGTTGGAAGAATAAAATCTTGTACGAATACAGGTCTATTTCTTGCCTACATCAGGGCAATGGCCAGTCCATGAATCCAGTAATAAAACCGATTT